CTGGTCTGATTAATAACCGCCACCTGGCGCGTTTGTATCGAGTGACAATTGTTGTGAAATGCACTATACTAAAACTATTATTTTTTATTATTCACTCAAATCATTCTTACTAAATGAATAGTAAAACAAAACTTTTCAACTCAAGTAAATTGTATATGAACTTTTTTACTAGAATTCAATTATTTTATTTTATTAGTCACATTTTATTATTTTAGTCAAATTTTAATTCGTAATTCCTGTTTTACCGTTGAATCTTGAAAATTTTATTTTTGTTTTAAAAAGTAAGAATATTATATTTAATATGTTTAATGCATAGTTTTTTAATTGCCTCTTCTACTATTGTAGTTGTTCATCATTTTTTATATATATTTATATATATATAATAAGCAGTTGACTAACAAGCTATGTTATTGAGATCATAATATTTGAATGAAATCTTATATGCTTTATGATACTAATAAAAAATCAAATTATTTTTCAAACCTGTGATACTTATGACATTTTAGATAAATTAGTTTGAATTAACAATTTTGTGTAACAAATTTTTTTTAAATATCCATTTTTTTAAGATAGTTTAACAATTATAATAAAATATTGAAATAACGATGATAAAATAATGAGACTGTTCCGTATATTGTTGCTCATTTATATTGATTAAATTAACTAAAAATATTACTATTAAGTAAGTATATTTGCGAATTATACAACATTTTAATTATATACATTTTTTGCGTACCTATCATGTGAGTTATTTACATGTAAATGGAAATAATTTAGTATTTTTTTTCAAACTTTACTGTTGAGTTGTATAAAATTCTATTATTCCTTAATTCTTATAGTATTGATATTTATATTCTTGTATCTTGAATGTTTTTATTTTTTATGCAAGTGTCATCAGATGTAAAAATCAAAAACTTTAAAATCTCTAATGCTTATATTTTGATTTTAGACTTTTTTTTGTATAATAACGAGAATATCAACACAACTGTTTTATGTGTTTGTAAAAATGTTGACGGTTAAACATTTTATATTATTTGAGTATACATAGTAGTTAAGAAATATTGTAACTAACGATTTATTATATATCTGTATACAAATGTACATCGAAAATATAATTAAAATTAATATTATATTTATACAAATTTAAAAAATGTATATGACATATTTAAATTTATGAGTTACACATATTCATATCCATTAATTTATTCATTTTTATCAAAGTTATTTTGGTAGTAAATATTTAAGTTGTGTATAGGGGTCATTTAGATAATATAAATGATAGAAAAGTGAAACTGTTAAAGACACAATATACAATTTACCTATCTATGAAATTAAAGTACTGAGCCACACAGTTTGCCTATGGACAGCGGACATGTTGAGCTTATATTTTTAGAGGGTTTAGCGGCCTGGCCAATGAATATTATAATTATAGTTTATGTCTCTATAATATTATTCACAGTAGTTAAGTTAGGTAGGTAATGCAAAAAACTTCTCAGATGATTAAATGCTAAATTCCTTTTTGATAGTAGGTTTTACTAGAAGATATTTTACCATAGTAATATTTATAGATAAAATCTCCTTCATTAATTCTGTTCTATATAATAATGCACTTTATGTGAGTTCCTTTAAAATCCTATTTAACCTTACCGGGTTTAATCTAACTGTTTTTTAACAGTTAAACTAAACATTTATAGTATAAAAACAATATTGTTTTAATAAATTATGGAAAAATCGAGTTGATTTTGTACCTACTGTAAAATTACAATACAATAATACTACAATTTAACTGAACTCAATCACTATAGTTTTTGAAATAAAAAAAACACATTGTAGAACTAAATATGATATAATAATGATCCTCAAATTTTAAACCAAAACTTATAGTGCAACAGGTACAATACTGTTCCAGGCAATGCAATTAATTTTTGAGCTATTATATCTCACTACTAAGGTGTAAACTTTAAATTTAATATTGCTCTTTTGAGCTGCCGAAAGTAACAGATGATTTGCGCTTTGTCGTATTCCTGACTTTCGATTCCCTTACAATAATTTTTATGTTATCGCTAAAAATAATTTTGTGAGATACTCATTCGTATTGATGACATTGAGTTCGTATTTACATTAAAAGTGTAGGATGTTGTAAAGCGGAAGTTCCAAATGGCTTTATAATCTGACTTATAATCATGGTAGTAAAATACTCTTCATTAATTTAACTACAATTGCTATAGCCATTTTGTTCGATAACTATTATTAATGATGTAATGTGCGTTTTTAATAGTAGGGATATTAGTGTAGTCTTATTTAGCAGCTAGTTAATGACAGCAGCTAGTTATGAAACCTTACTTAAATCATTTCTCATTTAGTATTTAAAATTATGAATGTAGGTACTTATTATGGCCTACGAACTTTGATTAAATCTTAATTCAGTTTTTGTACATATTTGACCTACGGCATAGTGGAATGGCTAATACTTTATATGAACAATTTCATCAGTACAAGGACCAAAATTAAATAATTAGAGCATTACCCGAGTACTCAACTGTTCAGACAGTTGCTTGTAATTCTTGGACCTCAAATGGAAGCAGAAATTAGTTAAATTTATTTGTGCTACTAAGTATTCTGTTAGTGGGTTTTTGCTAGCAAAAGCCACACTACGGTAAAAGTTGAATATTTTATACATTTTTAACTACAAAATAATTTGTAAATTTTCAATTTGATAAATTTTGTCAAAATCTGACTTTAAATGCCTAAAAAAAATGTCAAGCCTATGTATTTTTAATATTTTTCAATCGTTATTGTAACAATATACAAGGAATTTTGTATTAAATTTTCAATATTTTCTATCCAACGAACACAATTTTATTGACACTTACAAAAAAAAAATGCTAAGAAAAATTGAAAATGTTATCAAGTATTCTAAGTAATAACTTATAATTTTGTGTTAGTTGTATTTTATGTTTAACACTAATGTACTACACATGAGTTAAATTAATTATGTATTTAGTGGAGATCATTATTTAAATTTTTTAACTTATGTTATCTGTATTTACTCTATATATCTGTACTATTTGCCCACGAAGGGCATTATTATTTGATTACTTATTGTAAATTGTCTTCTTATTTACAATAAATTATTATTATCAAGTATAGCCATAATAGGAAATGATAAAATAAACATTTGGTGTAAATTTCAAATTTAATTTGACTTTTCAGTAGACATTTTTTTTTTTGTGAAAAAGGTAGACAAACTTATAAGGAATCTCGATTCAAATCTTTGATTAAAAAATTAACATTTGTTATGAATTTCTAATTCTTGTGTTTTTAACTTATTTTGTCTAAATTTGAAATTCAGACACTTATAAAAGTTAATTATGGATTCACGCTCAACTTTTTTTTAAATTTAAAACTTTAGAGAACCTTAGAGATGACGGCATATATTATATTGCTTCCGTCTTACGAGTATGTCAGAAACAACACTAACCTAATGCAGTGCGACGAGGTATAGTTTTTGAGGTAAAATGCACGTGACTATTAGTGAATACCTACTTTTAAATAAAATTGTGTTTTATCAAGCCCAAGACGCATCGAGGCCTGGAACATGCCAAAGCAGTACAAAGGGTACGCAGTGCACCAAATTTAGAGCATCATGACATTTTTTTTCAATGGATTAGTGTGTGCCCGCCCAAATAAAAAAAAATGATATTGTCAAAAAAAATACACAGGTATAGGTTACATTTACATTGTCTATACCACATGCAATTAATAATTACCTACCTTCCTATAATTCTACAGACAGTTATGTTAATAAACCAACAATAGTTTCGACGTTTCGTCATATACAAAAATACAAAATATAATGGGTACACCGTTATACCTTATTGTCACAGTACCTAATTTGACGAGGCAAATATGACACAAATTTGTATTTACCTATAAATAAACTTAAACATAGGTAGGTACCCGTAATACAGGTCGTATGTGTATAATTACAAGAACTGCATAACATTATAATGTAGCCAAACGATACAACACGCGTTAATGAAATCATCAAACAAGTACGTATTATTAAAATATGTATTTAACATTATTGACATACCTATACGCGTGCAATATATATTATACAGGGCGGTTCATCAAGCATTTCACCAGATTTTTATATTACTTAAGGAGTGTCCTGTGGTGATACAAGCTTCTATTTTTGAAATGATCACCCCCCCCCTCTTTTACTGTAAATTAATTAGTGCATAGTTTTTTGGAAAATGTTGATGTATCACATTCAAAATGTGAATGTGTAGCTTATTAGTTAATAAAATGTTTGTACTTAGAATAATATCCTTTAAAACTGGTTTTACATGACATTAAATAAACGTACAATTGAGTCTAGTATTTATTATACTTGGGCCATTTTTACAAATTATTTATATCGATACATTAATAGGTATAAATAACTACAATTTTAAAATCACCATAAATCCCCATTTCTTGTAATCTTATTAAAAGGAAACTTTTATGTTTAGAACAGAAAGTTAAATAACTTAAAAACTTCTTGTTTGAATTTTTGATTTTAACACGTTAGAAATTTCAGAAAAAATATCTACTGTATAGTTTATAGTTGAATAGGGGTGTCCTGATTTGAAAAACAGAAGCTTTTATCTCCACATGACATTCCTTAAGTAGTAGAAGAAATCTTAAGATTTTGAAAATATGGTCTTAAAGTATATTTAAAAATTAAAAAATCAGATTTCGAATAACTGCACTGTTAGAGAAAAAAGGGGTGAGCATGTTTGTTGAATCACTCTGTATATATGTACCTAAATAGATAGTTACTAGTTAAGTATCTACTATCTGTCTATCTGTAGCTGGATATTATAATGTGATGTTTACAGACCGTTTTTATTTACCTGTTGTTAATTTTCTATTTGAATATTGGCCAGGCACAAACTAAGTCCAACTGCCGCATTAAAACGATTAAAGTATGATCTCGTCATACATACTCTCACATGACATCATTTTATGCGATTGGCACACATATAAAAGGTCCTGTACGAGTACTTGTGGGCTGAAAATCTGCAATAGCTTGTAACAACTGCCCATCGAGAATTCGTCAATAATATTACACATAATTATAATAATTACCTATTAACAATTATTATTATTACACTCGCGATGACGACAATTACATTGATAGCTGCGTTGTTCGGTTGTCTTTTGCTACATTCATTTGTGAGTAAATTATAACACTATACATATTTACAGGGGTAGGGGGGTGACTAAATCCCTCACAAACGTAGATTTAGATTACCATCATTCCACAATATATTTTCAATAATTGTAAAGGCACCCTGGGAAATAGTTGTGCGTATGTAAAATAATAAATAGGTATACGAGTATACAGTTAATATTGTTGACAAACAATTTTTGAAATACTTACATTAAATTCTGAGCCACGTATAAACTCCAAACATTTTACTAGAAAATAATGTAAATTCCGTTGATTTTTTTTTGTTCCGTAATAAAATTAACATTATGTACCTACCTAGAATCTAAGAGAATCTAAATATAATCCTAGACAATAGGTACTATTTACTATTCATAATTTATGTAGGGATTTATTGCATATATAATATTATGTTTATGTACAATAACTTTTAAAAATCATTTAATAATTTGTTAAAATTAATAAACAAATAAGACAGTTGTAAGTTGTTGATATCATTATGACACAATTGTATTAAATAAAGTATTATAATATATAGATACTTGACCAAATAAAACTATAAGATGTATTATTATTATTTATTCAGAGCACGGCATTTATATTAGTAAACAACTAGATATTAAAATTGATTGCAGTATAAGTTGCATTATAAATGATAGGTTTTATTTTTTTTAAATCTAACAGCCAACATACTTCGAACATAGTGAATATTGTATTCGTACATAACCATATTATAATATTTATGTAGGTATCGCAAATTCGCAACTATGACTATTTAGACAGACATTTAAAGATCGGCTTTTGGAAGAGCTGACCACGTTTTAACTAACATCAAACAGTATAACAATTTTTTTAAATTGGTAATTTTTTATCAAAAGTAATTTGTCTGTTACTTCAGACGTGGGGACCTCTAGAAGATCACTTGTCCTTCCTGCTATACTTAGTCTTTATAAACTACATAAAATATGTATTTATTCATTACTCTACTACATTTTAGATTCATGAACTTTTCGATACTTAAAAATTTTTAAATAATAATAAATCTTTGTCTCTGGTACTTTTAATAATTTCACCGATATTTTTATCCATTACTTATACTTTTAAAACATTTTTAAATGTGAAATATTCAAATATGAGATATGAACTCACACTCAATTAATATCGGACTAATTGTAAATATCACGATGCTGCTGTTCAATATTGTTCGATATTTTGAAAATTGATAATATTTTTATTAGATTGTAGAAGTAATCGCCTCTACTTAAACTATTAGTAGAACATAACAATATTATATCCGGCACTCGTTGGTATTATCGTATTTCCGATGCGGTGTCAGTAAATTTATCTGCAGGTAAATTCCAACAATTAAATTTGAAAGTGTGACACAGATTACATCTTCCATTTTATTTTCTGTCGTACCACAAATTACCAAAATGAATTTTTTGATGTGGCGAAAAATACATGTTTAATTTTTACACACGCGCTTAAATGTACCTATTATGGTTTCCCAAATTACAAGTAATAAAATTGGCTCAAAATACCATTTCCCCTACTCACACGATTACCCTATGATTGTGTACAGGTTATTATATATTTATTTTTAAATGAATATATATAGTAGGTATAATAATATAGTACGATGTCATAAAGTAATTAGTTCACAGGTCGTATAAATTGTCTTATTACAAAAATTTACCTTCAGTTATAAACGACAAATGTTTTCAGTTTCATAAAATAAAATATAATTATATAATTAGAATTCAAACTAAATAATAAATATACTTCCTTTATATTATATGCTAATTTACAGAACAATAATTTTTAAATTGTTTGAAGGTTCTTACATCGACAGCCGGAAAAGTGCCATCTTCAGATTTACCGTTCGAGTTTAATTACGACAAAGGATCAACAATTACCGAACATAACGTTCTCACCCAATCAGTGTCGAGTGACGGACAAACTGTATTAAAAGCCAATGATCCACAGCCTATAGTAAAATATCAAGGAGTTAAGAAAAATAGTAGAAAGTCGACTAAAAATCAGAATTCGAATAAAAACCAACAAATAAATAATAATTCATTTAACGGTGCAATCAAGAACCCTGCTGGGCATTCGAGTACATCGTATTACAGCACTTCCCCAATGATGGATCAATTTAAATTTTTTGAAAATTTCAGCAAGTATGTATAAAATAAAATACAATAACAATTTCACACAGAATAATAAATGATGGTCTAGAAATCATAGTATTTTCTTAATTGATTATTAAACTAAATTATTATTGTTTTTGATTACCCGCCTACTTATTAAGCAACTGCATAATATAAAATATTTTCTACTCATTTCAACATTTTTGTACGCAGATATATTCCTGGATTTTCCAATATGAGAATTGAATACATTTGAAAGTAAAAGAGGTGCATTTAAATTTTATAAAAATGGCCATGCAGAATCACAGTTTAACAGAAAATTATATTATTTTATAAAATAATGATCACTATACTTATGTAAAAAATACACACAAATAATTTAATTCAAATTTTATTGTTATTATTATTATATCGTAACGTGGTTACTGATATACTATCGATATAACTGATAGTTGGACTAGACAAGAATTGGACCTTATATGGATAGGACCAATATTTTTTTGATTATGATATAGTCATACTGTTATAATTTATATATTATATGTATCATTTTATAAATAAACTCAATGGTGAACGGTAGTATTATACCCACCTATACTTAAAATTAATGATTAAAAATATGAATAGTTTAAGATTATAAGCCCCAATAACTATCACGTTATTATTTTGTTGATTCGCCATCCATGGTAAGAATTATTAGTGTACAATGCAGTCACATTTTCAAGACCGGATCCGATTCCACAAGAGACAAGATTATAGTTTTCCGTTCGTTCAGTATAATTGCCAAAAGTTTGTCAGAGACTCAAGATTCACCCTAAATTTTGTTGTTTACATGATTAGGAATTTCGAATTATATTAGTGTGTTACTCTATAACGTGAATCGTAAAAATTATGATGTTTTCATACTTTCGTATAAGCCCCTTGTATTCAACAATTTAGGTACTTATATATTTTAAATAGGTGTAGGGGTAGTTAGGTAAGCATAGGCATCATTACGGGGTGACAATTGTTACCCCACCAATTTTAATATTTATCCCGGGTCAATCATTTATACATCATAATATTATATGTAGAATATAGATGCGTAATTATTTAATTCTTACTCGTATGTATTACATTGTTTATATTTCTGACCACCAAATAAAGTTTTACCCTCACCGTGCTCGAACTTACAATAATTTGGTGTCCCCCCCCCCCCCAAGATTGCTTTTTGTTGGATTTTGTATATCTGTTTATCGTTGTTGTTGTTTTGATAAAATAATAAAACTTGAATACTCCTACACACATTTTACATACCATACAGAAATAAAATCAGAAAGTAATTAAAATATGTTTTTCCTAAAATCGAATGTTTAGTATGCATGTAAAAATGAAATATGACAAGAGCGAAGAGCGTCATAATTTCCATTTAATATTATGCAAAAAAAAGATTTAGGTTAATGCGTAAAAATAATGACAAGCCCCAGCTAGTGTATTCGTCGCAAAATATGTCACATGATATTAAATTGTTGTTTTTAAATTTTAAATATTAGTTTAATTATTTGAAGGTGATTAAATACAGTGTCTAGACAGTGGACATTAAAAAACAAGTTGGGTTATATTTAGAGAAAGTCATCACTCATCCTATATTTTTATATATGTATACTGCAGTGGTATAGCTTCAGCCGCGTTGGGCGGGGTGACAAATTTTACTGATGTTTAACAGATTGATCAGACCGCCAGGTCTTATCCATCAATAAAGCTTGAAATAAAATGATTTGAAACGATATTAGTGATATTACACGAACCTCACAAGTCTGTTTTCATATTTTATGAAATTAGAAAAACATTTATGGTTTTAAAATTTTGTAATAACATATAATAAACCACATTATTAAATAAATACTATAACCATCTAGATTATAGACCATCTAGATTCTAAAGAACTACCCTGGCCATTTACCGGTGGCTATCGCACCGAAAAATGTAGCTTTTGTGCTTTTTATTTTTTATACTGTATTTAATTTTGACTAATGAGATGCAATTTCAATGATTTAATGAATAATAGGTAGGTACAATATAATATTACGTTTATCAAACATAATTTTTCTAATGCCACTAGATTTATTGTCACACTCTTAAATACATTCAGTATTGAATATACTATAAATATTATAATACCTATTAAACTTATTTTCAACTATAAATAGGTATAAGTAAACAACTATTAGAAAATAATATATTATATAATTATAAGTGAAAATAAAAATAAATGTTGAGTTTTTTAATGGAGTACTCATTTCATTTATAATCGTTGTCATTACGGATAAAACACAATGAATCGTACAATTTTCAATTTTTTTTTTTGAATACTCTAACCAACTATAGCTGGTAAGTAAACCTAAAATTATACATAAATTATATTATTATTATACACCTATTTACTATTTATATACTATGACGTAACTATACTCAAAATTTTGGCACCGCAGTGCTATTTTTTTGCCTATTCAAACCCCCTACACACAAATGTACATTTTTCGTTGCCAAACAATTTTTTTCTCAATTATTCACCGTGTACGTCTGATTTGAGGCAAAAAATAAAAATTGTACAGTACTGTCTATGTATGTATTTATGTATTAACGCATGTATGGATGTATGTATGAATGTATGTACTACAAACAAATATGCAAATTTTCGTGGTTTTGATGAATTTTGTCATATGCCTATTAACTTAGGACGCTAATAAAAAATTATTGTGGATTTACGCTCAAATTGTTGCTAATTTTCACTAACATCAACTTATGGGAACCTTTATAAATCCGTAGAATGTTGATAGAACTAAAATTGTTTTATAGACAATAATTAAATAAAATCGAATACAAATCAAAAATTCTTTATGTCTATAAATAACTCAAAAAAAAAAAAAAATATTTTGAAAATGTTATGTTGTACTTATAGAAAATGCTAATATAAATATTAGTGAAAATTGCATGTATTTACGGTTAGGTTAGTTTTGTGTTATACCAAAAAACAAAATTGAATTTGTCGAAAATTCTTTTTGCGTAAAACTATTAAATAGTTTATATTATTTCTATTCTCAGTTTTCTTTAGATATTATTGGTTTTTCTTGTCACTTTTGAAAACTATTGGACATTTTGAATTTATTTGGGATTGCACCAACTAGATTAATCTTCCCAAAAGAAAAGTTACTGAAATTGAAATTTGAAGTATTATTTCGACTTTTTATCGTGTACACAAAAATAAATACATCATTGTGAAATCAAGGTATTTATCGCTTTTTTCAAAATCTAAAACGCATGTATATACTTTGTAGCCCCATTTCGAAATCTATATTCCCTGATATGTAGTCTATTTCATTAAATGGAAACGTCTATTTCAATAAAAATAAAATAAAAATATTTCATAAATAGCACACCAATTTTACATCATGTAATTGTTTTCACTATATAGTATTATAGTTATTCACTTTATGAATTAAGACTTTAACCACACAAAATTAATATTATTCTTTATTTATGTCATATATTTAGCACCATACAATCATTTGACATAATATATTAATTTAAGTTATATATTCATATATAATATATATATATAGACGTTAAAATTAATAAATATTTAAGTAATATTAAATATGAAAGTAAAAATACTTGCTTGGAAATATATTTACATAGAATTAGTAAAAAAATAAATTAAATATGGACTTCTACCCTCCACCGTCGTTGAAAAAATAAGTCATTTTGAGTATGGTGCTTTTTTCGGTTCACTTTCATAACGCCGATTAAATAATCTAGAAAATTTCTAGGCTACCACTGCGAACGAAATCTAGTGACATGTATGTCATATATATATGTGTACCCCAAGATCATCCAATATGGGGATTGAATACATCTTAAAAAACACAGAGTTTCATTTAAAATATACGAAAATGGTCATGTCGAAAATTGAATCACAATTTAACAGAAGTACCTAATGATATTAATACCTGAGTAAAAAATATGGTAAATATAATAAACGGTACACAACATTTTATTTCAATTGTATTTTTATTTAATGTATAATAGCTACCTATACATAATATGTATATCATATTTTTACCAGGGACGCATATACATGGAATAGTTACATTTCTGGTTTTGATTAATATTATTTTATTTATATAGATATTATAATATTTATATATAGGTAATATTAGAGAGCCTTAATAATAATTATTTAGGCTCTCTAGGTAATATCATTAAAATCTAAACATAGGTGGTACACATTATTATACACATTTATTTTACACGAATGATGAATATAAATTTAAAATCAAAATAATTAAATTAAACAATAGCACAATTCGACATCGAGAAATTACAAAATCATAACGATAAATAACTATTATTAATTTTTTTTTTTATCTATTTGCTATGCAATATTCATGCATTTATTACATAAGTATTAAATAGTATACATATAGATTATATGTATAATTTCATAAATAAATAAATTAACTCAATGGTAAATGTACCTAATTAAAACAGATCATAAATATGAATAATTTATAATAACATAAAATAGATTTAAATATAATAGCTTAATGTTTGCATAATTTTAAGTCATAAACCCAAATACTACTATCACGTCATTACTTTGTCGATCCACGGCACGAAACGCTGTACATTGGTGTAAACTCCGGGTAAATGTTCACGACCACATCCGATTCCCCAAGAGACCAATCCGATTAGAGTTTTCCGTCCGTCCAGCATCGTTGTCAACGGTCCGCCAGAGTCTCCCTGAATTGTGTATATTATTTGATTAGTATTTTAATTACGTGATGGGAGTCGAACAAATTATGCAATTTTCAGTGAAAAAAAATCTGCATTTAAGGCTATAATAGCATAATACGACTTATATATAGGTGGGTAATTACAATTTATGTATTAAAGTTATAAAATCTTTCTGTGCAGACTGCGGTTTTCTATATTTGTTTGATCGGCTTTATACCAACTCCCAATCGTTTATTCGTATATAATATGTATATGTATGCATACAGAGATGCAAACAATTAGTGCTTACATTTTTTCAAATTTCGTACCACGAAGAAATAATTTTATCCTCTGTGTCTGAACTTGCATAGGTACCCAAAGTTTATCTCAAAGTTTACTTTTGTTGGAATTCAGGTATTAGAAGTTTATTGCTGTTATTGTTTGGATAAAATAATACGATTTATATTTAAATTTATTAGACACGTTTTAGTGTTGATTATATCCTCAAAACAATATGTATTTCTGTGTACATTTCTGAGGACCCACCCACAATATTTTTTATATACAACCATCAATAGAAAATGATAAAATTAGCACTCGGTGAAAATGTTAAGGATCTACGGTTATTCCTGTTTGAAATACAACAAGATTAAATAAACGTTTCGAATTTTTTATTTTATTTTTAAACGTATTGATACATATTTTTAGGTTTTGTCAAAATTCGTGAAAATTGTAATATCTCACTTAACTGTTCTACAGTTATTCAAAAATATTAAATAATACATATAGGGACATTTTTTAGCCGATATTCAAATTTTGACAAAATTTGTTCCTAGAAAAATATTGCCAGAACATCACTATCCGCATTAAAATTGAAAAAGATTAGTTTATAATATTGGAGAGAGTCATCTTTCATCCCCTATTTAATGTGCCTATGCCTATAATACTACACCAGTAACTTCAGCCGTGAAGGGCAAGTGGAACAAATTTGACAATAGTATAACGGATTTATCAGACAGCTAATACCCATAGTTAAGTTTGATATAAAACACCTTTGAACAATTTTACACGAACCTGACAACTGTCACGACCACCTTCTTTGTATCCCGCACACAGGAACACATCATGAATGGTTTCCCTTCGACCAGCCGCCCGGAACCATCTTTGGCACCTTTCATTTGGTATCACCTCGACTTGTACTTCTTGTAACACCGTAGGAACTGTTGAAACTCCTGCGTTTGAAAATTGTATGATGGTAAATATTAAATAGTGTTATTATTCAAATACAATATATAGAAAAAAAATCATATCGGGACATATTAGGTAAGTACCTATTTCATATACTTGTAAGACATTTGTTTATACATATATTCTCATTTGTTAGTTTTAACATTTTTGTTTATTTGAAATGTTTGATTATTTTATTAACCATATTTAAGAAAATTATAATTTTTAACTGCCTAATGTATTGGAGAAAATACTTCCATAAAATTCATACTTCATGTTTGGGAAGAATAGAATTTTCAAAGACCATAATAGTTGGTTTACAGAATTCGTATGACTATATGACGTTAATTGTATTTTGTATTGAATATTTTGTATTGAATATTTTGTATTGCACTATCATACAATGTAGCCATAATTAACTGTAATAGATTATAGAAAAACATATTTAGACTTTAGACATACTAAAAATGTTGTGTCAAAAGAAAGTTATAACTTTTATTCAGATTATTTAATCATCGTCAACTTAATTTAAAAGAGAATATCTTTCTATTTCAATTATTCAAAACAGCGTAACTTATAGTTCCGATACATTTCAATTCTACCTAGTAACTAGGAATTAATATTTATTATTGTAAATTATATACATTTGATAGCAGAGTTCGGAACTAGGGTGACTGTAATGATTAAGGTGTGTTTAAGTGTTTAAGATGTTAAGTGTTAGTAATTAAAAAATCGAATTTTTTAGTTTAAGTTTGAACTTTAAGCTGACTATAATAAAATAAATAGGTTCATGTTCAAGTTGAAAGTATTTAAGTTTATAAAGTATAACTTTTAAAAAGTTGAAAAATCATTAAGATCTTTAACTTTTCTGATTTTAATATATGATATTATGATAGGTACCTAGACCAAGATAAAAATAAATATACCAAAGGTAAGTAAGGTTAAAATGAATATATAAAAGGCAAACAAACGCAATTCAAATTTGAATTTTTTTTTTAGCAAAAAAATGTTTTATGGTTTTCCAATTTTTTTTTAAATGTTTAGGTAGGTACATTTGGCAATATCTTATTTTCTTGTTTAGTTTAATAACAACATAAAGTGTATAGAATTATTAAATAGATACTAACCATGTCGAGTACGACCCCAACCAGCTACTGTAGCTGTCTTGCCAACCAATTTAGCAGCTGAGCTTGGTAAACACACCGGAATGATGTGCTGTTTATAGGTTACATCATGGTCAATTTTTACTAAAGCGACGTCGTTACGAAAATCTGTAGGACTGTATTGTGGATGTACCTATAATGAACAATATTATACAATTACTTATGATTGATGTAAATTATTATTACATGGATTGGAACATTTATACTTTTTCGGTTTTCGTTCCAATTAGATTCTTAAAATAAAAATATTTATAGATTTAAATTTTGGTTCCTAGCTCTGATTATTAATTTGGTATTATTAAAAATAAAAAGACTTTTTTATTTACGTGAGTTTACAGACTTATATATTAATAAGCCTATAAACCCTGCGCACTGCAATCATTTAGAGATTATAACTATAAGATCTATAATAATTCGTTTTAGCCCTGAGCAAACATATACCAGTATATACCAGATAACCACGTACGAAATAATAATAAAATAAGTTGACCACTGTAGTGTTTTAGTGTACTGATAATGAGACCCAATATTTAAAGCAACTAGATTTCTCACATTTATTTTATGACTTGAATGTGATTAAACTCAAATCTTTTTTTTAACAACATATATTTTTTTTCATAATCATACCTATAATCAAATAAGGAAGATGGATTTAAGGCAGAAAATTAAACACGTGTAGTACTGTACCTACATTGTAACGTATTTTATATATTTTATATTTACTATTTTTTCGGTTTTAAGAAAGCTTGTCCTTCCTATTAATATCAATATTAAAATCATAAGTGATTAAGGTATGTTATATTTTTTTGCTAGTGACTAAAATATAACTAAAATGTTTGGCTAAATACCTATAATGATTTTTCAATTCGTCATTCGAATTAGCACAGAATTAATAACTGTGATAAAAGTGTATGACAATATTAAATAAAATAAATAATAAATCCATCAAGATAACCAGAGTCAAGAATATAGAATCCAGATTGCATTTCATAATTTAATTTTATGTACAAAAAATTAAAACCACTAGCTGTATAAAAAAAGTACCATTCCTAGAAAAGTGATGACGAACGTCGATCGCCCTCTCTAAATACATCACTGAGGTAAAATAGAAAAACACAATAGAAAAAAGTAATTAGAAAGGTAAACATCAACTAAGTAGACTACAGCTTTTATGTACATATAGACAGAATTTTCACTGTCATAATAAAATTCTAAGTAAATATGATTTTTTTATTTTCTATATTAATAGTACACTTATATTATACATTTTATAAAAAAAAATTAATTTGATTTTATGCGACCACTCTCAATAGTATCAAATACTTATTACTAAAATGCAATTCATTATTAAATTAAGCAATCGTACAACAATGTATTATAATATATATATATTAGTTAATTATTATTTCTTACTTCTTTGCGCTCCACATTGAATTCTTCATGTGCGTACTTTTCTGATTGATCACGTACATCCCATTCACCGAGCCGTACTTTTAAATTATTATTCGCCGTTCTTTTCAATATAGTAAAAATGTTTAAATTAATGTAATTTAAATGAACATGTTATACGGTTATAAAATCTTAATTGTTGTCGTAGACGCGCGCGCAAAGTTTATTTCAGCTCAAGTCACCTTATGCAAAATTGAGGCTCAAAAATAAGCCCGATTACTTAGACCTTTATAAAACTAGACTTCACTTCCTATCTTTTTTTTTTGTGGGTGGGTGGAAGTTAGATCATCTTACTTACACACAAATATACACACTCTTATGCCGTAATTTATTACGTCAACATTTACGCATAATTCGACCCACCGGCTACAACCCGTGCGCACGTCAATGAAAACCTTATAAATTGTTATACTTACGTGGCCACGCAATGTGCAGCAGTAACTACCCATCGATTACTCAGTAGAGCACCTCCACACGACAATTTTTTTGACAAAAACCCTGACTTGATGATAGCAGCCTAGATCAATAAAGATATATTTTTGTTTAGGATCAATTCGAATAATTAATAAAATATTATATTGCATACTAATATAAGTGTTCATTTGATTTACCTGCCACGGATGTGTACCGAAGTTTGATCCATGTCCACCCACAATTCTATGGCTTCTTGCATATAGCTCTCCACAGCCTATTAAAATTAAATGGGTATATTAGGTATGCATGTTATTTATGTCAGAAACTCGTAGACCTTGTACAAGAATAAGGTGTACCTATAATATAGAAACGTGATAAACAAGTATAACATAACATTTACTACAAAATACAAAAATAAAATAACAAGCTTGAATACTAAAAAAGTGCTATTATAGAAATATTCAAATATACCTTACTAAATGATTGAAAATTATCATAGTAAATGCGTGAGTACATTCATAACAAAATATATTGAATGAAGGTAATCATCTGCTAGTTAATAATATGTACTACTCATACACCGCGGTTAAATTATACGACTAGAAACATAATACATAGTCACACATGTACATTAACAGATAAATAAATATTATTTTTATAGGTACCTACGTTAATTGTTTTATTTTAAGATTGGATTTCTTCAAACGTTTAATATTACTATAATAATGTTAATCTACGTTTAAAGGATCTTCAAGTTATACTTTCAATTACAATTTTAAATAAGAGCTGCATATGAAGAAAATTTGTAATAATAACTGAAGTCCAAGCTTATCTCTTTAAAACTACCCATTTATTTATTTACAATCAGAACTTCGAATGTAGTAGGTATCATATGAAGCAAAAGTCACTACGAAAATTCGATAGCGCACAATGTAGCGATTGGCAAGGCATGACAATGGAAGTCGTCAATATTGGTGGGTGACACCCCCAATAAATAATTATTATATAAACTCTAGTCAAACGCTTTACAATTAAACTGAATAATTACCTAAGTACAGTATTTTGGTTTCCATAATCTTATATCTAAACTATATCTTGATTACTGTTTTAAAAAAGTTCAACAATATTCAACTTGATGTCTTGATAAAGTAAAGCATTAATAATTATATCTAGGTATAATATTTTTTTAAAGCTACACCGGATAATTGATTTATGGTAAAGAAATAGGCATTCGTGTTACTTTGTTCAACTTCGCGTATGATACTAATGCATTATTTTATTATATAATAATATATTTGAAAAATTAATGAAATGTTAATTCGCGATATTTAAAAAAAATGATTTTCAAAATTCTAAGCCACTCATGTTGAGAATTCGTAAGTTTTAGCTTAATAGAATAAATCAGTTATCTTTTAAAATATGAAGTTAACCCACATACTTAGGTATAAGAAAAATGTTTCTCTGCTGTATAGTAGGTTTTGCCTGTCATTCAGTAGGTCACTACAATAGATAGGTTATAACTAAAATTCGTATTCAATGATCATTACATAATACATAATATGAAAATGATTCTGAGTGGAGGCGGTGTAGGTATCATAGTTACCATTTCTAACTTATTTATGTTACTATCAGTTATTTTTTTCCCTGAGTAATACGGTAGATTGAACTTTTTTCCAAAAACATAGCATACGCGGCCTTAGATTATTATAGCATATAATATAAAATAATAATTTTAATATGATATCATATACTCATTACAATAATATAATAATAATGCAGGGCTTGAAACCGATATTGGACGTCGATTTTGAATACCGGTTAATACCGTTAAAAACCAAAATCGATATCAAAACAGATAAGGAAATTGAAAAAAATTTACAGTGGTAATCAAAACCAAAAACAAAATCGGAAAAAATTAATACCGATACCTGAAACTGAAAAAGGAAAAAATGCTTTCGGTTTCCAGCCTTGAATTCATTTGACGTACTTATTATTGTTATCTACCTATTATGAATTATTATAAGTCAATACCGACGTACCATTGGACGGTGTGGATAGGTTCGTGAATCGTAATATAAATGTATCGAAATCAGTCTAAATAATTTGAGAATGTCATTGTGTATTATGGGGAACGATAATAATTTAAGTTACAGCACGTCGCGACTTAGCTCATCGTCGTTACCGCCTGTTAATTTCATCAAAGTTATCCCTTTTCATTATCGTATTGATTAAAAGCTATCTAAATATTATACCTTCTGGGACAGAAACCCCGAATCCGTGACCAGTAAAATGAATCTACACTCCCTTCAACTCATAATACAGATCCCGAATTTAAATTAGTTAATGACAGGGAGAACCGCCAGTCTTCAACTTCAAATGCATCCAGATCCAATAAACACAGAAATCAAATTTCATAAGATCTACAACATATAATAAAAGATAAACCTACTCTCAATAGGAAGGCCAAAAATAATACATTTCAAGTACGATAACGCCATAATTATAAAGTGGGGCGATACGCTGGTGAGTTTCTATGGATATTAACGTAATTAGCAATAATTCATCAAAATCGGAGATTGTTATTAAAAACAACATTCAATCTCTGTCATACGTGACTTTATCCTCTGCCACAGAAAACGGAACAGAACGCTGATCAACATTTCAAACACTTTGAATCCAACTTGGACGGCATACCTTATATTGTTTTTGACTGATATAAATGTTATCAACATTAAAAAATAAAAAACCGAAAAAAAGGTTGACAATTTCAAATGTCTAATAAGACTTAAGAGCTCAAAAAAAACTAAAATATTATATGTACCTATTGAAAAGTCTGTATGTTATCATTTTTTGATTAACCACAAAAAATCAAAAACTATTTTTAAAACTATTATATAATTAAGGAAAATAAAAATTTGAAATTTAAATAATTGTATGATAGCCAAAATAACAGTATCTAACAAAATATGCAATTTTTTATAATATATTATGCTTGTAATAACAATTTTTTTAATAAAACTATAGTACATACTCTATGAATCAAAGAGTAGATCAAGAAGTATATCTGCTTACAAAATTGAAAATATCATTACAAATAACAGTTGGGACTCCAAGCCAGTTTGTGTGTGTAGTATGAAAATATAAAGAGTGTAAATAAGGAATAACTAATTAGTAATTTGTGACACTATATATAAATTGTTTTATATTATTTTGATTAAAGGACATTTCACCCACATGATGTGTTTCCTACATCTCACAAACGTTTATACAACATGATAAATGTAGATAAGTTCGTCAAACCAACTTTGTGTTTAACTTGTTAGTTTTAATATTGCGGTGAAACGATGGCACAATTGTACAATTTATTCTTTAATTCTGATGCAAATTATGAGTATAAAAATATAGGTATAATATATTACGGTTTTAAAAGGTCATGAAAATTTCAACTTGAAAAACCCATAAGAAAGCAACAACATATATTAAACATAGATAAAAATTGTATAAACCTAACTTAGCTCTTAACTTCAAGTTTGATACTAGGTCAATTCACAGTACTATTAAAGCTAACAACAAACGATTATACATTCTTAAGAGGATGTAGGCGCATTATTTATTTACTCTCTCTAACCTATGTGCAAAACACCAAATTTACATTAAGTAGGACCAATATTATGTTATCAGCTTTATTATTAGTGTGAATTGACCAATTATAAAACTTAAAAATAAGAATACCATTTGTGTTTGTATGTTGGTTTTTACGTAAAGATATTAATTTTTTAATTGGGTTTGAGTAGATTCCTACGTAAAATATTACAATATTATCCTCATAACTTAAAAAAAAAATAAAATACCGTACAAAAACAAAAGTACAGACACAGATAATGTTCTTACCTTTAGATTAACATAAAGTCAATCCTCTCTTATTAATATTATTTAATAAGCTTACAACACAAAATCGGTTTAACTACAGAACCCAAATTGTCTGTGTTATACATTTATAAGACAGTGACAACTCATGTGGGGATGACTTCCACAAAATAATATACGAATTATAATTTGTGAAATATATTTAAATAAAAAGAGTTTAAGGTCTTAACTAAAAAGTGTGAAATCGAAAAATTACAAAAAATAAGATTTATCCTAGCAGTGTACTTACACATTTCAAAAATAAACAAGATCCACCTTGGTGTGACCGGTAGACGTCATAAAATGAACATTGAGACCTCTCAAAAAGCAGGTAAATATGTGTATAATGTTATAATATATATAATAAGGTAAGACAGTTGTCTCATCAAAAATCAAAATCAAAAATTCTAAGCTAAAACTAAAAAAAATGTGTAATGTTTTGTCGGGAGAATACGGCATTTTATACTATATTATTTTGCTTGATTGGTGTTTAGATTTTCCCATCATGCGATAATTTATTTAAAAAAAAAATAATCACCCGGGTGTTCCATCTAATACAGAAGATACTTTTTGGACTATAAAACCACACCTAGTAGATTAGAAATTAAAAAAAATATGAGTTTCAGATAATGTAAAATACATGTACATACCTACTATAATTACTCATTATTTACCTAATATTTCAAAACTATGATAAAGAATTAAATATTTACTACATATAAACTAAATTATGTTGATATACGTATAATGGTCTATTATGTCAAACATTGCTTGATAGTAAATAATATGCACTAATATTTATAATAATATCATAAAAACTATAAAATGAGAACTTCGTAACATTTTTCAGTTATCCTCAACTATAATTATTAGTTACCTATATACAATATATTATGTGTGTATCGATTTAAAGTTATTCGATATCCAAAATATTTTATCGACCGTCGTAAGGCACCTCATAGTAATATGACGTATATACTTATTGGTGCTTCTGAAGTGTAGTGCTATATGATCATAAGACGTGCTGTACCTATAATATATGTATAGATACGTTTTAAGACCAAAAGTTGTGTTTACAAAAATGTTTTATACTGTGCGTTTGTGCGATTCTCCTTACATAGTACAATATTTATACAAAGTGCGTCAAGATGAATTATAAAGACAGCCTGAAGATCGAAGGTTTTTGCATTCGTGTCTCGTGAACATACAATAAATTATTGGTGTATGCGCGTCTTCCGGACTGCAGGTGCTTTAATTTACTCCATATGGCTAGAGGTGATATATTATACGTGAAGCGTGTGACCGGAAGTGCGACTTTATGCATAAACAGCGACTGTAGTTTACCGCGATATCCGGACGGCATGTAGTGCAACAATTGACTCTGTTGCTGCTGCGGTTGCTGTTGCTGCTGCTGCTGTTGCTGCAGTTGCAGTTGCTGCTGCTGCTGTTGCTGCTGCAGTTGGTCGTCGGCCACACCGATGCCGCTGCCGATTTGCGTGATGTGAGAGAACGGCGCCAGTTGGGGAGGTTTATGCGTGGAATAAAACATCACGTTTCCGTGATCGCTGTGGAACAGCAAATTTTGTGACGTGGGTGGTAAAGTCGTGCTGGTCGACGTGCTGCTGACTGCCCCAGCACTGTTAATCTGCCAATGGCCACCGACGGCACCCTGTTGGTGCTGATAGTAATACGGGTGGTAATGCTGGTGCTCTTGTTGGTAATAGTACGACGGTTTGGCCGTTTGATCGGCGACGAAAGACTGCGATGACGGACTTATGTCGTTGATGTAGTTGTCCACGTAACTCGCCACCGTCGGGTGCTGATGGTTGTGATGGTGTTGTTGTTGTTGTTGTAGTTGTTGTATTTGCAGTTGTTGTTGCTGCTGATGTTGGTGTTGTTGATGCATATACATGTTGTAGTGGTGTTGGAATTCGGGGTATTGCATCAGGAACTGTATGGCTTTATACAAGAGGAAACGACATGACAACATATAACGCAACAACTACAATATTTTGGAAGCCTATCGTTTCCCATACATTGTTAAAGGCTTATAATATAGTTGGGTTGTTGTGTGCGGTATACCTATACCATTAAAATATTACGTAGACTCAAAGTGGAAGACAATAAAAAATATATAACGCTAATCGTAATACATAAGGATATAATGATCCTTATATGGCGTGCACTTATCATAACATACTTAATAGTATTTGATGTTGTATAATAAACCATAATATTATACACCTATAATATAAGTACCTAAGTACCTACTACTTAGATAATAATGATATCATGTTCGTTCCAAAATTAAAACAGAAAATATGTTACAAACATGATACACAATTAATATAATATTATAATATGTTTAGGTATTACTCAGCACCCAGTGCAAAGATAGGTGGGTATTAACTATGGTTATTAATTAAAGGATACACAAATGTATTCGTATCATATCGTCACAACGAAACGGACGTGTTTATAAGCATGTGTGTCACTGAGTTACAATAATTAAGACGCGTAAATGCCTACACGGCTAAACAAGCAAACATAATACAGGTACGACGACGATAGGATAGCGCCGTCTCGGTGTCTTGATAATATGACTGTGTTAGAAATTATGGTACCTATCCAAGTCAAAATTAAAACCAAATAAATACACTCTCGCGTCGTACCTGTAACCCGTTCTTAACCGCCATTTTAATAATATAATATATATCGTACACAGTGATTTTTACGAAAACGAGAACCGTGACAATATTATAATAATAACAGCGACCATAAAAAGTTGTGCTCTGATTATAATACCAAACGAGAGAAATTAACGCGATTATTATTATTATTACAATTTATAGTGAACAACTGTGCCGTCGCACATCCAGTGTACGCGTGACGACGTGTCGCTTTAATAATAATTATAACAATAGTAATAATAATAGTACATAAATATGGGCACCACGTGAAACTATATACGTCAAGTGAATAATATTGTGCAATGCTGCCGTATTATGATTACTATTATTATGACTATTTTGAACATTTTATTTCGATATTTATATTTAAAACAATCGAGCGTTCTGGGATGAGACGCTAAAGAATGAAAATAAAAATAACACAGTAAAATGTAAAAACTCACTAGCATTTTCTATTGTTCCCACCGAATTCGACGCTGCCGTCACGGACGATGACGACGATGATGACGACGACGACGATGACGACGACGAAGAAGATCCGGATGTCTGAATTTTGTCTCTGGACACGCAACAGCTCCATATCATGCCACCACTGCACAAGTCCACTGGTTTGCCGCCCTCGAGCACGCACGAAATGCTAAGGCCGCAATCGAATTTGTTGCTGTTGTACCAGCAGGTCTGTGGTATCACTGTGAAGGGTGAAAAAAAATATTTAAGTAAAATGTCAAAACGACGTAATGTATGGACATAGCAATATTATAATTATTATTCGTGGTGGATCAACAGAGATAATTTGCATTATAATAATATCTGAAATTATATGTATTTTACTATCGCTGTTGTTTGATATTAGGTGCCCACTACCTACTATATAACGTCAAAGTATCTGTACAATAATACGATTTATGATGTGGCAACATTTCATATTGTATTGTAATACGGACTACGAGCGTGCCTAATTCGCTATAATCAGAAATGTTATACCATCGATTTTTGTGATCGAAAGTGTCTGACCGTGGTCGTGTTAAATTTGTTTCAGGTGTCATCAATGGTCGTAATAAAAATAAAAGTACATTTTTAAATATTTTTTCTAAGAATCTAAACACAAATTTAAATTGAAAAAAGCAAGTCCCGCGTACTGGATAGTAACTATAGTAAGTACTAAACCAATAAGAATTTCGGTGATACAATATTTAAACGTAAGACGTGTACACGTATATATACAAAAATATGTAAATAATTTATATAGACGGCTACGTCATATTGCCATCAATAATCGGAATGACTGCAATCACTGATATTTTGTGAGAAAACTTTACATTGTAGACCACATATTGCTAACGAATCAAAATTAAAACAATATAATATATACTATATACCATTTGATTATCAATGTCAAAAAATTGAATCTGATTTTTTAATGCTCAAATTGCTTGAGAGTAGAGAGTTTCTAACTACTCAGACACCCCATGTATTTTCAAAAAAATCTCGAGGGTATATCAATATGTGGAGGAATTGGGAACACCGGTACTTTTAATATTACCATTGTACAGCAGATACCTATGTTTTATTTTTATTTTTTTCGTTATTGTAAGATTATGAGAATGAGAAAACGAAAACACGCATTTTGTAAGAAAACGTTTTCGACGAAATCGTATAAAATAATTTCAATATTTTTTTTAATACCTACAAAGAATATAGTATTAAATCCATAGACTGTACCTATATATCTATAGTAATAAGATACACTCGTATTTGTCAATACCCTGAATAACTTAATAGATTTTTTCCACAACATAAAACGACTTTGTACTTGTTATTTTTGGTGTTATAAAATAATAACACATTAAGCTCTGTAATAATTCTGTTGTTGTATTTCAATTCAATATTAATATTCTACAAAAACGTTCTACAAAATATATTATTTGCTGTTTGCTTAAGGTACATACATAATGGATGCCTAACCTACACACACTACAGCTATAATTTATGCAAAAACTTTGTTCACGACGCGCACCTCCGTAATATTATACATTATAATGAATAAAGAAATTAGATAGGTTGAGAGTACTCAATATTATAGAGTAATTTAGAAGTTGAGTATTATAGTGGAATACATTTTGAATGGTGCAACGATTATTCGAAAACGACTAATGTGTGTTTTTGACGGGGAAAGGTTTCTATATTGATGACATTCCATAAATTTACTTTTACATTTCGATTATTTAAATTCTGTAAAAGTAAGACGTGTTGAGAAAATAATAATAATTATTATGTACCAAACAATTTCATACAACCCACTGTTATTATTTATTTTTTTTAGAAATGCATATTATCGAATATCAATTTTTATTATCTTAAACGAGGTACCTACACATTTTTAATTGATTTTCATATCCGTTTAGCCGGTCAAATGTAAGTACCTCATGGAAGTGTAACTAATTACTAATTACTAATTAGCCATACAATATGAAAAAAATATTTCTAAACTACTATAGTATTATATAAGAATACTTTTTTATATGTATTTTCAAAAAATATACAAAGTGTAACAGGAAAACCTGACAAATAAAATAACTTTTGTTCTAATCGATATTTTTTATTTTTTTATTTCATTCACAGACGCCCACGTTAGACGTATTGAATAACATTTTTTATTTTAGAAAATATAAAAAATACAAATATTCGTTTAAATTGCAGTTTTATTTTTAAGATTTTTTTAAATCTCATTATCTATAATAGTAAAGTTGATCCAGTTGTAAAAAACATTTTAAATTCAAAAGTGTTCTCCTCAGAAATATTTTAACATAGAGGTACTTAAATGAGTATTTTTTTTTAAACAAGAGTATCTGCCGAACAATAAAATAAATTATTGTCGGACAAAAAGACGAATGTGTTGGTTTCTTTGTTTTCAGTGTAAACATAAACTAATTTAAATAGACAAAAGTATTGCGGTCATAAATACTAAATATTTAAAACACAAATCGTCAGCACGGGTTGGCTTGCAGGTACCCACCTACAGTGATAGATATTAAAATATTATTTTGTGTACAAAAATTAACAAAGTCACCGGCCGTGGCAAGTTGCAGACGAGTATTATACACAGTATAGCAAATCAAGAAAGGAAAAACACCAGACGGCCGTGATGAAGAAAGTGAAACCACATCACGGCCATAGTGTTGCTTTCGTTTATACTACCTATACAACTAATCGTGATGTGTATAATTTATTAATATTTCTACATAAACGAGAACGGCGGCACGTGCGTTGTTTTTTAAAATATTATATATTATATTATAATACATGTAACAAATTTTAATACGTCACTAAAAAAAAAAAAAGGACCGGACTTTAACTAAACAATATAAATATCCCGGACACGGACACGGATGGCAAAAGAATATTATAATAATATTATAATTTTATTTTTCATTTTAGTGCGAAATTCAATAAAACAAATACCAAATATAGGTACCTAGTTATTACATGGTATTCTCAACTTCTCGGTGGTTATTGTTAACAAATCAAGTTTGTCAATATCGTAATATTATGACAAGTAGGGTTGGAACGTTTTTGTCCTTAATTACTCTAAAAAAATTTTCCTATTCGAAATGTGCACATTAATTTGCTTGAAAAAATATCAAACTATGTGAGATTATTTTTTAAATGTTTTTTGAAATCTAAAATTAAGAAAAATGACATACAAAATATAAAATTTACAAAAAATTACATATTTAGTATGAAAAAATATAAAAGATATCGTTTAAAAACAAAAGACTGCATCTGCTGCTAAAAATGCTGCGAAATTAAATTCAATATCACTGTTCGTACCTATGTCACACCAAAAGTATATTTATAATTTGGCCTGAACGTACACGACTATACAAGAATAAAATATGTAAAAGTCATAAACCTTCGAACCATAATGATTAGCGATTAGCAGCAATTTGTGCTATATTATTAATACAGTAAGAAAGGAACACACCTACCTATATTATACCTAATTGTATGTGCATATTAACTATATTTAAAAACGTTTGGAAATCATTTAGTCGTCTTCGTCATTATTTTATTACACCTATACCACCGACTAAACGGGACAAGTAATATTGGAAATTTCGTGCGAGCATCGATCGAATTGCTTCGAGCAAACCGTTTCGCCGTTTCGAGATTGGTAACTATATTATAAAAAGTAAAATATTATATTATTATGTTGTTATAAAAATGGGTTGGAGTGCGAAGAATACGTCCCGAAGGCTGAAATTATTTCATGTTCTCAGAGAAAGTTATCAAGGATGTAAATAAATACAATGGAATTATTCTAAACGAAAAACCCACACAAGTATAATATGACATGATCGCTATCAGGTAATTGAAGCACATCATGCCCGTGTGTTATAGCGGAGCGAAATCATTAAAATCATAATTAGATGGGACGAACACTGCATTGTAATGATAATATTATAATGCAACAGACATTATATTGTACATTTCTCGGTTTAAGTAAAGAAAAAACCGATGTAAGTATACACAACATGATTTCTATGTCGGTGCATCTGAAATGATTGTAGTCTAGGTACCTACATACCTAATACAGTCGATAAATCGAATTTTTCTTCTCGCCCCTTGAAGTGTTTAAGTTGTACATTCGAGGCGAAAACTCGAAAAATACAAAGTCTAATTTATTTTTATTCCCCTTGAGATTCGAATTTTAAGGATAATTATGCGTGAAATAAATAACGCAAAAGGATTTGCTAGTGACACGACCTCTACCTGTGATAATATTATAATATATACCTATAGTAAACTTTTCGTTCCCCGCAACCACCGAGTCCAAGACAAATGGAAACGATAAAATACAACGCTATCGAAAACGTCGCGTGTCGGACGATTAAAAGCCTAATCATCTGTTCACCGAATTATTGTATAGTCTCGTACCCATTAGACCAAGAAAGAAATAGACGACGGTGATTTCTTCACAGATTTTAAGAACATAATATATAACGACTATAACGAAAACGACTAATCTCTGGCAGAACCGTGGTTAATTACACTTGTATATCATTAGGTACCGGCTACTGTACCCATTGTAGATATTTTTTTTTTTTAGATCGTTTTCATCGTCGCCGTCGTCCACCCGTCCACTCCAACCCCGCCAACACAAGAGTCGCGAGTATCGGTTTCTTCGATCGGTTATTTTTTTTTTCATTGCCTATCTCTCTCTATTTCAATGTATATTTTCTTTCGTTCGTCTCCCTCTAATCACTCGGAAATGTCAACACACCCATCATCGCATCGGCAATCGAGTTCCGCGACGGCTCCTCCGGATGTTATACAAACACATTGCGTGGCAGCGCATCGGGTCGTACGCATACCTATAGATATATATTTTATAAGACCCGTGCACTTGCACATTTTATTACGATGTTATGTATACGCACGATTTACCCGAATTTATGATGGGTTTTCGTAACAGGTATTACGAGTGAAACGGATGGAAAACAAAAACCGTCACCGTTGGTGCGACACGAACGAACACGACAACAAAAATACCTATAATAAAACAACTATATAGTTACCCACCTAGGTATACACGTACTAACCGTATACCTAGGTTAATGCAATAATGGTATAAGTGAAAAAAAAAAGGTTCAGGAAAAAAACGGGTGCGTCACATACTTTTGCCCAACATGTCCATGAGATCGTTTTGAAAGCCTTTGGAACCGGTGACGGTTGGCCCGCCGTAGTAGCCGCCCTTGCCGGCGGTGGTGTTGAAACCGGACTTTTGACCGAGCACTTCTGCCAACAGCACGGCGTTGCTTCCCACGGCTTCCGGCTGCTGCTGTAACGACAGCGACGGCGGCGCAGTGGCGGACGCGGCCGCCGGAGACGTCTTGGTCGCGTACGACAAGCGCTTCGAGTACCACTTTGACGCGGCGTCCGACGACGGTTGCTGCTGATCGCCGTCGACCACCGAGTTTAGGTGCGGCGCCTGGTGCACGACCACCTGCACTTCGGACAGCGACGACGCGGCATCCGATCCGGTGACGACCGTCGGCCACTGCTGCTTGTCGTCCACCGGTTCCCTCCGCTTGTCTTCCGACTCGCCAGCGAATGCCACCTTGTCCTGGTGGTACTTGTGCGCGCCGGCCGACGCCCGTCGACGGCTGCCGCCAATGATCCAGCCGCCTCCGTCGGTGGCCGACGAAGACGTGCCGTCGCTGACGTGATGATACGTGTTGACCGTACGACGGTTACCGTCATACGCGTCCGATCTGTCGTCGACGTGGTGATCGTTACCGCCTCCGCCTCCGTCAGTATCGCGATTTATCCGTTGGCGCTGACGATCGTTGGATCTGACGGCTGATGGCGAGTAATACTCTGCATCGGACGAGTAAGCCGCCGTGGAATCCGCGTGGCCGTCGAACGACAAGACACTGTTGCAATACAACTGCATCACTATGACACTGACGATTATGGAGTATGACCTCATGGCAACGCGCTCGTATTCAACGTGCCGCGCGATTTTTATCGTTATTAACGGTAACGATGTGGTTATAATGCCGCCGTTGGTTATAATGTGTGGCCGGTTATAACGTTATTGTGACGAAGATTTGTCGCGGTTGTCGTGGTGTTTCGGTGGCGTTTCGGCGATACGACATTGACCCGTAAGGCCGCTGTGAAACACGACGATAACTACTATACAACTGTCGTTGTTGCGTAACATCCGATGATTATGATGATGATGACGACGACGGTGAAGACGAGTGACGGTTTTGACTACGACCGACGAATATCGGAAGAATGCCCGCCACGAATCTTATGCTCCAGTGTCAGCCGCTTTCTTCTTTCACCCGCGCGTGTGCGAAGTCGGCGCGTACGTGTGTGTATTATATGCGATACGGCAAATAGGGCTTGGCCCGAGCAAATAATATAATAATAATAATAATAGTATTCGCGCGTATATCGCTCGAAAAACTATCACTTCAATAACAGGAGTAACAGCAGCAGTTTACCTTGGATTCCTGCGCGTATACAATGTCACGGAACGAGAGTATCCACTTTCTTTCTGTACACGCGCCGCTCAGTCGTCTCCGTTGTTATATTATTGTTATTAGATGAAGTAGTAGTAGTAGTAATAGTAGTAGTAGTAGTAGTAGTAGTAGTAGTAGTAGTAGTAGTAGTAGTAGTAGTAGTAGTAGTAGTAGGTAGTATTATGATTATTAAATTTTCTATCTCACACGCCGCACACACGTTCACTTTCACTCGCGGTCACTGAGAGTAAAAGAACGAGTGAAAAAAATAATAATAAAAAAAAATCCGACACTACCTAGTATAGTGTAATAAAATTACGACAATAACAATAATAATATATAATACGGAAACCACGTAACGAAAACACGTGGTACTTAATTTCGAGAAAAATTCAATGTCAAATTAATTAAACGTAAACTGACTTACACTTGAAATCTAAAATCCTTACTCGGTTATTTTCATTCGCACCGAAAATATATTATTAATTAGCGAACTACTAACCGTCGAGAAAAAAATTTTATAGTAACTTTGAACTTACCGCGTCTCAAGTCGTATATTAATGAGTATTATCACTGATTGTGTAAAAACCAATAACTCACGAGTCACGGATATAATATGCTATTAGTATTATTATTGTAATAGTTCAATAAAAGCAGATTTCAATAGAGTATAATAATATATTATATTTATATAGATACGTGGATGAGAAATTTTCTTTATAAAAAAAATAAGATAACAAAAGACGCGAGCGAGAAAATTGTCCTTTTGTATATCTTAATACGATGATATATAGTGACAGATAAAACGGCAGATCACATTGGCGGTTTTTTTTTACATTTTTATCATCACGACTATCAATACACCACAGATATATATATATATATATATGTTTATCTATATATAAATAACGAAGTGTAGTCTTTCTTCTCCGAAACAATATTAACAATAAAGACAAATATTATAAGAAAGTAAACCGACTGAGAGCCGCAGCAGCACACAAAAGACTAGTTGCTGCAAAACGTAGCGACCACCATCGTCATATTATTCAAGTGTCTCCGCCTAACCGCTCTTTTACCGCGAACTTTCTCTTAATCGGTGTGCTGTTGTTCAGTGTGTATACTTGACGTTTACCCCTCCACGATTAAAAATAGGATTCGCACTCTTCCAAACGTCATAACTGTGCTTTTACTAAATATATTATTGCACATAATTCTTAAGCATAGGTACCTATGAGTACTCGTATAGGTATAATATCGTATAATATGCTATAGGTATATTAACAAATTTCCAAAATAATCGATTAAATAGATAACACCGTTGAGGTATAAAACTGATAGAAACGTGTACGATTTACGTGACTAAAAATTCAAACACATTCTCAATATGCATTTATTATAATAGGTGTTAATTATTAAAAAATATTATTTAATACAACGTCCATAAATTGTTAATAATGTTTTCATTTAAGATATTTTTAGTCTGAGACACAACAAAAAAACCTCTGAACTATCTTTTATAAAAAGACATAATGATCAAATTTTCTCAAAATTATTTTACAATTAAAAGTTTTGACGAATTTAACATAGTGAAATCAATAATTTATGTTATTAAGTTTTAACAGTGCTGTGAGTTACATAATCGAATCTAATAAGACTGTTAGAGTGTTATGAATGTTTGTCATGCATAGTTATTAGGTATACCTAGTTGTTATACGTTAATTTCTTTTAGAAATTGAGTGTTCAAAATTTCTATATGATTAATTAGTTAAACTGTAAATTTAAATTTAACAAAAATCTTAAACTAAATTAATTAAAATAACTCGAATTAAAAAAGAGTTGTTTACTAAGTTTTTTTACACATTGGACAATTAGAAGGAAATTTATATGACAAAAATCAAAATTATAAAAATATTATTACTTTTAATATGTTTTGGAGTTGTTATTACTTGTTTCAATTTGTTGCCGAATTATTAATAGTATTATTATTATAATTATTAGTGTATTTTGAATTATATAAATTGCAATTTATATTACAATTTTTAACTTAATTGGTTTTGTATACTAATTGTAATTAAGTAAAATTAATAAATGTTTTCTATCCATACATTTAAAATTAGGTATTAATGAATTAAAATTTTTATATTAAGCAATACTGCACTATAATCATTCAGTTGAATTTAGATGAAACTTTAAAAATAATTTTTTTACGCAATCTATCAATTAAAGGTTTCTAAACAGAAGTTTTTAGAACACCATCATTGTCTCCGTCGGTCAGTTACTTACCACTTACAAGTACATAGTGACAATTGCTTACATTATTTATTTACCATCCGGTAGTATAATAGTTGTTTCTAAAAAATTAATTTGAATAAAATGTTTATAAGTTATAACGGTTGAATTCAAAGTAATTTCATATTAGCCTGCAGTATTAAAATACCTACATCAAAATATGAGTATTTAATATGGATTCATACTAGCCAATACTAAAAAATTATGTTAGAAAATATATATAAAGATTACCAAATTCATTTTAAATGGTATAATATGGAATAATACTTGTATTAAAATACGTCAAGAAATCGGAAATTTAGTGAGTACATAATTTATTTAATATATAAAATATATTAAACATAATATACATTTCGATTTCATGTCATACATTTTTGCCCAAATTTTCATCATGGAAATATAATAATTATATAATAAGTAATATCTTATGTACTTACAAAATTGTTCGAAAAACCGTCCCTTCTTCTTCTTTGTTTTATGTTGCATTTCTTGTTGTTTCTGTCTGGTTATTGAAGAATGATTAGATGTTAAAACGGTTGCTGTATCGTTATATTGTAATGTAGAAACAACATCATGTTCTCCAAATGTCATCTCTAAAATAACATTTTTTTCTGTTTTTAATAAAAGAATAATATTTTACAAAAAAAACCCTATTCTTATTTACTCTTAGAAAATCGGCGTGTTTTTGGTAGGTTAACGGCTACTGCTACCGATTCACAATTGCTGATGATGGCGATAATAAAAGTAACTAAAGCTACTGCAATTATTGTGGTGTGCATGATAGTTTTAGTTGCATCAAATGTTTCCCTTAAAACATAACAATACATCACAATTATTCAAAATTGCCAATTGGTAGGACATTTTAAAGTATAAGACTTAGTTGCAAAATTGTTATAAATTATAACATGCAAATTAGCCATTAAGAAAGTAACAAAACTAATTTATAGAATATTCTGAAGTTGTTTAGAATGAAATATACTGAGTATACATAAATTATACGTATAAAGTATATAAATAAACAAGAAAGTAGTTCATAAACAACTTACTATTCTTTATTTATCCTCACTATTATATTATTCACTACTCTTTTGAGACCGACTGATACTAATTTATATTACACATATCGATTAAAAATGTACAACACGATACATCCGTATAGGTAATTATTATTACGAAAGTAAATAATTTTCTATTATTTAATGTCACAGTAATTACTCAACCTTAATTAGCATATAAATTATTTATTTTTTATGAATTAAATTATTCATAGTATAATTGAAGCTAATATATTATTATTTAATTTTAATAACCACAAATACCTTTTTGGTTTTTATTAGTTTTTTTTAAATCAACAACATAAACAGTAAATACCTATTTCTAATTCCTAAAATATGTAAAAAAAAAATCGTGTTTATATAATTTGTAATTTACATGAAAATAATGCACACTTAGTGAGAATTATCAGACCGTATAATTGTGCATACTACAAATACGTACCTACTAAAACAATAATGAAGAACTCAATAGTAAATCATAACTATCGTTACAATGCTATTTGTTCAAAATATATATTTAAAAATATTATGCATTATTATTTTTAATTTTAACAACTTACCCGTTTTTAATTAAAATATTTGGTTAGAAAGCTATAACTCAACCAGCTATTAAAAGCAGCACTTACACGACAGTAATGACATTTAATAAGGAACTATACAATTAGGTTTGTAATTTTTATCATAATGTAACTTGACATTTGTTGATGTATATAATATAAATAGCACCGATATAACTTGATTTAATTACCGCTGAACAAAGGCTAATCATAATATGTAATTCGATTAAATTTAAACTCTAACTAAATATCCGAGCATAATTGCTCTGAGAGTGTAAAAATATACTCATAAATAATCTTCAGAAGACATTCCCGCGTATTAACTACACGGGTACTGCAACATGCCTACCAGCTGTTGATGTGTTTACTGGGAGCTGCCGTGGCCGTGCAGTCCATTGCCGGGTGAAAGTGACACTCAGCAAATGGGATGTACGTTGGTTCAACGTATACAAAAACGGCATTTCTCCTTTGGTTTTGTTATGTCCAAGGAAAATATTTCAAACCATTAAATAATGTGACAAGTACGTACCTCTGTGTAGGTACCTTTATAACCTATAGTGTAAAATCTAAGAACAGCAGTGATGATAACGTATAACATAATATATTAATACAAATGCACAATTAATTTGAAAGTTGTATTGGTTATGGAAAATATTATAATATTGATTAATTTTTAAGCGAGTTCCCGCTAATAGTATATTTTTCATTAGATAGGTACTTCAACAGAGTAACTAAAATCGTTGGAGAAAAACCTTTAAATATATCATAACTCATCCAAATTTGAACTTCTAATCTCTATATAAAAAATGATGCGTAGGTATTAAACTATAATGTATTTTCAGTATTTTTAAATGTTAGTAAGAACCCAAACACACAACCCAGTACTAATTTGTAAATTATATTTTATTTTTGTTTCAAATATGTTTAACATTGATTATTTTATAGACTGCAGTTGCATGTTTATATATTATAAGTGCTAAAGGTATATGAAACTTATAGGGACTTGCTTGCTAGCAAATTCTAGTTGCATCCAAATACCAAATGGTAATGTTACAGCAATACACAGTTTTATAAACTTGCATTTAGCAATCAGCACTCATCCAATAAACCACTGATAATCTTACACTTACCACCAATCCACCCACACATATGCACAAAGTGGGCGCACAAGGCGGCTCAAGAAACTATGTAACTTTATAAGTTTCAACATATTATACAAATTTTAAGAAAATAGCTTGAGTATAATTGGCGATGGGCCAATGCCCCACACGGGTCACTTTGGGGTAAAACATTTTAGCACTACTAAGTTTAAAACTGAATGTGCGCCTATGAACCTAAATTTGTTAGCGTCTAACACCATATTTATATACTTTATTTTAAGATCAAGCTTATAAAATAAAACGTTAGGAGATTAACTGTAAAAGAAAAATATATTTTAGTTTCCGAGAGGTTACTAAAAATAGCTTCTTGATTTTACAATAGGTAAGTGCTATTTTTTTAAAAAAAACACTTTTGATTATACTAAAACTAAACAAAAGTTCCATTCAGTTTAGATTGAAAATTAGACACAGGTGGTATACTATATACAAAAAGGTTTTTATTTAAAGTTCTAAAAAAAATAGTAGAAAAGTATGTGTATTAGTATATTAGTAGCGATAGAGTTTAAAATAAAATTTCATTTTAAAATCACTATGTTATACTTATGTATAGTTACGTTTTATTATTGATATTACAAATTACAATGTATTGTAAAAGTACTATTTATAACCAATGGTTGTCACCGTATGTTAATGTATATTATAATCTACTATAAATTAAAATACATTTATATTTGTGTTAAAAATAATAAGAAATAAGTATTCTAATGAAAGATATAAGTATGATTTTACTGTGTATAATAATATGCTCTTTTATGTCCATCATGAGAAACATCACCATAGTCCCCTTTTCTGGAGAGATATAAAAATGTTCAACAAGCAAAGAATTTTATTTATAGATTGGAAGTTGAACGTATATTATATTTAATGAAGTCATTTCCGTATTGGTTTTCGAAAAAATTCAACTCTTGAAGGTATTCCACTTTATTTTATTTTTATGTGATAGTTGAGATAGTTGTAAATAAAAATGACAGTAAAAAACTTTAAGTAGTTAAATTCCTTGAATGGTAAATGTACTTATCTGAATAGAGTAGAAGGCTGAAAAACGTACACCCTCGTACCAATATGCATAATATGAATGATCACACTCTTTCGTTGATTAGAAAAAAAAAAGTCTAA